GCACTTTTTTCGCTCCACCAACAGTGAGTAATGTCACATTTTGAAAAGCAACAATTTTTAAACCGCGAAGGGCACAAAAACCTCAAAAGTTAAACAAATTTGGATTTTCGCATTTGAAACAGATTCTCTTGGTATTAATTCCCGTCAACAAGTCTAAAAGATTATAAAAAAAAAGCTTGTCTATAACAAAGAGTTAATCCTAGAATAGGTTCCCAATCAATTCACATCTGTAGCATATTTTGCCCCTTGTCTTCCATAGCGACTGATAACCAAAGTCTATAAGTATTTACAAAATAAAAAATCTACAATATAAATGGTCTAGCTAACTCCGAAATTTTGACAACTAAAACAAGAGGCATAAGACTTGACTGAATTTACAAAAAAAAATATTATGCATAAAAGTATAAAAATTTTGAGACACTTCAAAATACCATTACTAAAGTTGTATTGATGAAGGGAAATAAAACGAGAGAAAGCAAAACAAACCGTGACTGTTTTCTAACTACACAATATTGCTTTCTGTAAGCCTTAGTAATACCCATGTAGTGGCTGGATGTGGGTACACAACCGAAAATGAATTCTGCTAAGCAACATAGTTATAAAAATAAAAGAAACTCTAGAATTGATGATTCCTATGCTTAAGTTTTTGAATTTTTTTGCCTAATTATTTTGCCAACTTTACAGCAAACACTTTTTCAACCACAAAAAGTTTGAACAAATCTACAAAGCAAAGCCGAAAGCATCACCTATTACGATGAGTTCTGAATGGATGTGTTTTTTAATTGGAATTATCCATACTAATTATTGTTTAAAATGTGTTGTTGTTTTTGTTGTTGTTGTTACTATTATTATAAATGGTACTGTTATGCTTGTTAAAAGATGAATTTATAATTATGATTACTAGTACTAATTATTGTTTAAAATGTCAATTTTCTTTTTTTGAAAAATGTTATAATTACCATTTTTGCACTTAATGTATCTAATTGTATTTTTGCTTATTTACTACTGTTTGTAGAGATGATAGGAGCGTTATGTGTTCTGCAAAAATTTCTTTTTGATTGTATTTGTTAAAAACTGTACTTGTTTGATATTTGTGCGCGGATTTGTTTGTAGACAAAACGGAAGCAACTGGAGGGAAATTATCGTTAAAAAGATTTATATTTTTGAGAAATGAGAATACACAAGTTTTCAGTTAGGAGAGGAAAGCTTTTGGGATAGTAAAATCGAAGAGGATCATTGTTCTGGTGTGGTTAATGATTCTAACAAGAAATGTTTGCTCATTAAACAAGTTTTTCTTTTTATGAGGATGAGGAGATTACTTTGCGGTTGTTTTAGTTATCTTGAAAATGCACCGCGAATATGGATGGTATAGATCATAGCTTAAATTTTAAAAGCTGAGTTTTGTTGTTTGTGTTGTTAAAGGATTTA